GGAGACCTCCCGGGGCTCGGGCGCCCCTCCCCCACCCCACCTGAAGGGAAGGGAGGCGTCGGGGGGCTCCCCCCGCCCTGTCCTGGAGGACCGGGTCAGGCATTGTTTTCTCGCCTATTGTTCCAGTCCCGCGCCCCCCACCCCAAGTTGAGGGAGTTTGGAGACAGTCGGGGGCAGCGAGCACACTCCCCGCGCCCGGAACCGCCGGTGTCCGGGCTGTTGCGGGAATGTTTACCTACGAGGTGTCCCCTCCTGCCGGGTTATTTTGGTCCCGGCTCCCGGAGGGAGAGGTCAAGGGGGAGTCACCCCCCCTCCCGCTTCCGGATGCTGGGAGGAGCGTATGGGGAAGGGAGGAGAAGGGTCCCAGGGGAGAGGGGACTCCTAAAATCCTCCCGGGAAGCGCTTCGGAAAGGAGAGAGGTTGTGCAAGGGGCCGGGATCGACAGGAGGGAGGTTTGGAGTTTCCCCCAGCAGCACATGGTTCGGGAGTTAACTCCTTGAGGAATCTTGCCGAGGGCGCAGGCTGGCATCTCCCGCCCGCCTGGCACGGCGGCGGCCCCCCTCCTTCCCGGGACAGCCCTAAGGCTGTCGCTGTCGGCTCTTGCCGCCGCTCTCCTAGAGGTTACCTGTACTGCACCTACCCCCAGCCTTGACTTTTGACCTGCCCTGTTATAGTGAGAGGCAGAAGATGAGGTCCCTGGACCCCCAACTTTTCGCCTCTTCCTTTACTGGCCCTTTAAGACCCCCCCCCCCCCTTAACAACACAAACGTGTTCGCCTATGGTAATGCTGTCCCTCTAGTTTTCTCTATTCCGGGTGATCTCCAGCAGAAACTGGGAAACAGGTCCAGAAAGGAGGGTCTTCTAGACTAGGGTTTAAGGTCAAGGACTCAGACTTCCTGCCCCTACTTGGAGTGCTCGGTTCTGTAGTTGAAGGCTGTCCTGTGCGCTGTTGGGCATTCTCTGTGGTCCTGCTGGCCAGTTAGTGACCCCCAGACAGAGGAGCAGCCCCCCCTACTGGAACTGGCTGTAGTCCTTTAGAGTCACCCTCTCCACCACCACCACCCCCCCTCCTTACTCTGGGAAAAGCCACTGATGACAAATTTGCTCCAT